CAAGAGCAAAGACATCAACACCAGCCCTCATGAGCTCAGCCCAGCGGGGGCGCTCAACATCCGCACCCATCTCCTCACGCCAAGCGTCGTCAAGGCGGGAGAAGCAGCGGTACGGGGTGTGGAACCTCCCACACGTCTGTCCCTTGCGGTCACCTGTGCGAATGACATAAGAACAGCGGACACTGGCCCCCGACGTCCCACGCTGAGCAAGCCACTCACGAAGCTGCTGGGTCGTCTGGGGACGCTGCTGCTGCTGGGAGCTCTGGCCCGAGCCAGTGCCTCCACTCCGACCTCCGCCGCCACCACTACCACCGCTCCGACCGGCACCGCCACCACCGCCACCACCGCCACCGCCGCCACCGCCGCCGCCGCCACTACTGCCACTGCTTCCTCCGCCGCCCCCGTCTCCACCACCGACCCCACTCCCACCAGCGCTCCCGCCACCGCTCCCTCCAGCACCGCCTCCCCCCCCACCTCCCCCACCTCCTCCCCCCCCAGCGCCACCACCACCACTTTTGCCCCCCTTGCCCTTGCCGGTGCGGCGCCTCCCACCAGGAGTAGAAGCAGCGCCAACAGACTCAGCACCAAGGAAGTCAACAGCAGCAGCAGCAGCAGCAGCGTAGGAGGGAGCGAGGGGAGAGGGAGAACACCCCTCAAAGATGGGGGTGCGAGGAGCGCCACGAGCAGCACCGACAGCTACAATGCTCTTTTCGGCCGCGAGCAGGTGCTCCTCTAGGAGGGCGACTGTGAGCTCAGTGGGACAGCGAGCAAGGAAGTGGTCTCGAACTGAGCGGAGGGTGTCAGGGAGACGGGTGACTATGAAGTGGAGTGTCCAGTACAGTGGAGGGGGGTTCTTAGCGCAGAACTCGGTGGGAAGGGCGGCACGCAGGCGAGCATCACTAGTGCGAAGGTGGGTGATAAGATCGGCGACTGTAGTAAAGGTGGACAGATCGGGGAACAGGTACGGCAGCATGAGGCGGCTAAGCTCGGCTGTGGCAGGCGAGGAGTAGCGAGCGACGACAGCGTCGTACAGGGCCTTAGCGGATTTGCAGTCGCCAAAATGCTCTAGCTCAGCTAACGGCAGGTGACTGCGAATGGCTAGGCGAGCAGCTGCGTCACGAGTCTGCCAGTGGGAACGAACACTAAGCTCAGCTGTGGCAGGAGGGGCAGGCGCAGCACCAGACGCGTAATCATAGAGCGACACATGCTCCTTGCTATCGCTCAGGAGGAACAGCTGCAGGTCATCTAGCCAAGCGGTGAACCGCACAGGGCGGCCCTCAGCATCGAACGACAGCACGCGGATGGAAGCCATAGCGACAGTGTGACAGAGTAACGCAAGCTGCCGCAGCAGGGGAAGGCGACTGTGCACGGATAGAGAGCAGCGGGCGAGGCTGGCGCTACGGGCAGGCGGCGCTGCAAGCGGTCAGCGCGACGGGAGGGCGACGCTGCGAGCGGGCAGCGCGGCGGACGGGCCGGGAAGCGGGCAGCGCGGCGGGCAGGCGGCGCTGCAAGCGGGCAGCACGGCGGGCGGGCGACGCTGCGAGGCGGGCGGGCCGCGAAGCGGGCAGCGGGCGGGCGGGCGGGCTGCGAAGCGGGCAGCGGGGCGAGCGGGCTGCGATGCGGGCGGGCCGCGAAGTGGGCAGCTAGCGGGCGGGCGGGCTGCGAAGTGGGCGGGCCGCGAAGCGGGCAGCGGGGCGAGCGGGCTGCGAGGCGGGCGGGCCGCGAAGCGGGCAGCGAGCGGGCGGGCGGGCTGCGAAGTGGGCGGGCCGCGAAGCGGGCAGCGAGCGAGCGGGCTGCGAAGCGGGCGGGCCGCGAAGCGGGCAGCGAGCGAGCGGGCTGCGAAGCGGGCGGGCCGCGAAGCGGGCAGCGAGCGGGCGGGCGGGCTGCGTAGTGAGCGGGCCGCGAAGCGGGCAGCGAGCGGGCGGGCGGGCTGCGAGCGGGCGGCTCGGCGAGGGGCGCGCGAGGGCGCTAGTGAGGGGCGCGCGAGGGCGCTAGCAAGGGGCGCGCGAGGGCGCTAACGAAGGGGCGCGCGAGGGCGCTAACGAAGGGGCGCGCGAGGGCGCTAACGAGGGGCGCGCGAGGGCGCTAACGTGGGCGCACGAGGGCGCTACGAGGCTAGGGCACGGGGTAGCGTGGTAACCGCATGCGAGCGGTGGTGGGCCCTTAAAAAAACGGTCGGTAGGTCCTAGGGACCTCCTGCTCTGATACCATTTCAGAATCACTAGGCAAGAATGATGAACTAGCAGAAGTTTGGGTACAAATATGAAACCCTAGTTGGGGTTGTACCCCATATTGGCTACCCCACTACAGCCTACAAGCATAATACAGTTTAACACCAACCACTGTCCGCCAAGCACTATCTGGTCCCGACAGTGACAAATGGAGAGCAGCCATGGCCGCCGAAATCGCGTCGTTGAAGAAGCGCGGAACCTGGAAACTGGTCCCACGATCATCGGCAAAGGGGAGAAAAATCCTCAGCGGCAAATGGGTCTTCCACATCAAAACCCTCGCCGATGGCTCGATCGACAAATACAAAGCACGCTGGGTGGTGCGGGGATTCGAGCAAACTCACCTGGTGGACTTCACGCTCACCTACGCTCCTGTCGGACGTCACACCTCGGTGCGCATTCTCATCTGCATCGCCGCCGTTAAACTGCGACCGCTCCGGCAAATCGACGTTGGAAGCGCCTTCCTGTACGCTCCCGTCGATGCCATCATCTTCGTCGAGCAGCCGCACGCATTCGAAGAAAGCGACGGTGCCGTGTGCCTCCTCCAAAAGTCTCTCTACGGAATCAAGCAAGCTCCTCGTCTGTGGCAGCAGTACCTGCATTCCGTCCTCCTTGAGCTCGGCTTCACTCAACTGCCGCACGATCTCGGAATGTACAGGCGGGAGTCGCGCGGAAAATTCATCCTCCTCGTCGCCTACGTCGACGACCTCCTCTACACTGGTGACGACACGGAGCTGCTGAATCAATTCGAGGCCGACATCAAAGAGAAGCTGGAAGTGACCGTCAACCACAACGTCACTCAGTTCCTCGGCCTCAACGTCACTCAGTCCGCCTCCTCCATTCACCTCTCCGCCGCCAAGTACGCCGAAACACTCGCGAAGCGGTTCGCCATCGCTCCCATCAACCTCACTACCCCCTACCGCACTCCTCCTCCTAACCACGAGCCCGACACCACGCCGCTCTCTCCCGACAACCATCGTCTCTACCAACAACAGCTGGGCTGCCTCCTGTTCGCCGCCGTCACGTGCCGGCCCGATCTCTCCTACGTCGCTAGCCAGCTCGCACAGTACCTGAAGCGACCTGAAGGGGAGAATCTACTGGATCTACGCCGAGCACTGCAATACTTCATCTCCACTCCCGACGTCGGCCACCTACGAAGCCAACCACACCGCTACTCTGCAACTCCATGGCTACGTGGATGCTGATCACGCAGGAGATGTTGACAACAGGCGCTCCCGCACAGGATTCATTTTTCAACTCCAACCTGCTGGACTCATCTCCTGGAACTCCCAGAAGCAGGAACTCATCGCCCTTTCGTCAGCCGAAGCAGAATTCATCGCAGCCAGCGCAGCTGTTCGCGAAGGACTGTACCTGATGGAGCTCCTGCAAGAAGCGAAAGTAACGATGAACGGGCACTTCACGTTACTCTGCGACAATCAGAGCGCGATAAAGATCGCGAACAAGCCCGGCTTCGTCAACCGCACCAAGCACATCGGCCTTCGCTACTTCTTCGTGAAGGACGAAATCGACAAGGGGAGAGTCAAGCTGACGTACTGCCCGACCGGTGACATGGCAGCCGATTTCCTGACGAAGAAACTGCCACGTCAGCAGTACCAGCACTGCGCCAACCTCTGCGGGATCACCAAGAAATCCCACGTGGCCCACCTTCAGGAATGAAGGGGAGTGTTGGAATAACCGAAAGGTTATAAAGGCATTCCCGAAGCTGTACCACTGTACCAGTACCGCATGAGCTCATATAGAGCACGCGGAATGTCGAGGGTCACCCGAAGGTCAACCGTCTAAGATAGTCAACGGTCGTGACCCTTGACGATTCGGTAACCGCGCGACAGTTAACAGACTGCAACACGGTAACTGTCGAGGATAGCAATAGTCGCGGTTACTGTAGCTATGTAATACAGTTAATAAGGGAATGTACCCCTTAGAGTACATGGCTAGTTAGTTGCTATTTAATTCCTTGTACTTCTATCTTTCAACTATCTTGTTCTCTTTCAACTATTATTCAACAAGGTCACTACAGAGACTTCACTGTCTCCTTTCAGGCTTAACACATTCTATCCTATCCACTGATCCTTCGGTTGTATCGGCAAAAATCATTTTTTTTATTATAGTAGTTATGAAATTCATTTAAAACTTTTTTTCATAAAATACATATGACACCGAAAAACGCAGATCATTCTGATAACAGACTGATATGAGATGATATTTGAGATATTTATATATTTTTCGTACGAATAATATTTAAATCTGTTAAAAATAAAATTAGGCTCTGACTGGACCATATAAGTTCTTGTGGCTTTCAATAAGACTGCAATATACATTCACTTTAGTTGGTTTGTACACTCACCACACAGCGCCATCCACAACCCCCCACACTCCCCCAGCACAATAGGCTAGATCTCCGTGCATATCCCTTTTGGGTTGGGGAAGTGAGAAAACAGGGGGGCAGAGCCATTTCTTTCGGCTGACGGCTGGCTGTTTCTTCGGATTTCACACCAGCAGAAGCAGAAGCAGAAGCAGAAGCAGAAGCAGAAGCAGCACCACCCACCAGACCAGGCTATTCATTTCTGCTGTGAAGCGGTTTCCATTTCAGAACGCCACTGACCAGTATTGCTGGAACGGGTTGCACATATTTTACAAGATCTTTCTCCTAGTTCTTTCACACTAACGTTTGACAAACTGTTTTCGTTTTCTGTGGGTTCTGATTAGTTTTACGTAGAGGCTCTCCCTGCCTTTACCGTTGATGCAGGCGACATGTCGGAGGATCTGTTTTCGGAAATCGAACAGCTTGCTCCTCAATTTGCCGATGGGAAACTTGAATCCTTAGATCCGCTGCAGCGAGTAATTTCCGATCTTTTATTAAAATCCAAGGACCGGACATGGCTGGAGAGTGACGCTGACGTCGCCGGCGGGATCGCCGTTACGCGATTGGTCAACCTTCTTCCGGATTTTTCTCGGCATTGTCCCGAGCTGTACGGTCTTCAACGATCCAGCGACGTATCTGGACCGTCGGGTGCTGACGTATGTCACGGATCTGCATCTTCAAGCTTCATTGACCGGCTTTCCGCTGATTGGTCTATTTCCGCAGATCCAGATCTACACGAGCCGTCAGCGTCAACATCAACGGCTACCACTGCTGCATCAGAGATTGCCGATGCTCGAGGATTTAGTGGTGTCGCTTCCTCACAACCCGCAATCCGACCGTTGGTGCAAGTTCTTCGAGTTATTCGGAACCTGCTCGCCGGCCTCGCCCCGAATCAAAACGCGTTTCTACAATGCGGTGCTCTTGACGCTGTAGCTACTATCGCGGACCGGCTTATATCGAATCACATCGTCCACCAAACCCCGCTGCCAGGCGCCGCTCCTTCCGGCGGAAATCTCCCTGCGACAAGCGGTACCGTCAATGTCTCTGCAGCGTCTACTGCGGATCAACCAAGATCGGGATCCCACGCTTCAGGCAGCGGTGAAGACTCCACCCAAGTGGCTTCCCAACTTGCAAAGTTAAAAGTGGGTAGCGGAGCTGCTTCAGGCGCAGCGTCTTCCGGCAGCACAGCACCTGCTCCCGCTTCCGCTTCCGCCTCCGCTTCCGCCTCCGCCACGCGTTCCTCGGCCGCGCCTTCCGCGCGCATGCTCAACCGTCCCCCCGCGTTAGCGACTTCCGCGGGGGGAGCTTCCGCCAGCGCAGGTCATCGGCGGAAACGGTCCATTAACAGAAAGGGCACCGGAACCCTCTCTCTTCCCCTCCTCTCCCCGTCCGCCGCGTCGTTCGGCGCTCTCCCCGGCGCAGCCTCCCCGGCGGGTGGCGCGGCGGCTCTTGCGCAAGGGTCGCCGATGGCGGGAGGAGGATCGGGTAACCCGATGACGCCCATGTCGCCGATGTTTTATTCGTCGCTGCTGCCGCCTGCGTCGCCGTCCGTGCTGCACCTGGCGCTGCAAATCGACCTGCCGCGAGACCACGTGGATGCCTTGAAGGCCGTGCTCCAGGTGGGTGCCTCTGCTCTCCCACGCGCTTTTCGGCTTCGTTTACCCCGCTTCTCGCCGCTATTCCCCCCCCTCCTCCCCCATCCCCCCCCTTTTCCCCCTCAATCCCCCCCACTTATCCCTTCTCCCTTCTCCCCTTACTCCCTTCCTTCCCGTCCTCCCTGCTTTACTTCCGAGTGATCCATTTCGTCTCGCTTTTCTTCTTAATCGCTGTCGCGATGCATCTGACTAAAGCGGCTGGCTCGTCTCATGCCACGCACGCCTATACGCGGATGCAAAACCAATCCAAGTGGACCCATTGGCACGAACGGGTGCTTACTTATCCGTGCACCTGACTTCTTTGACTAAGGGGCCTCACATCCACCGTCCTTTGAACCCTTCCTTGCATTCTCGTTGACCTCTACGCTTCTATTCTACACGTTCCTCCACTCGCATTCGCTGCTCCGCCTCCCCCGTCCCTTCTCTCCCCCATGTCCTCCTCACCTAACCCGCCCATCTTCTCTCTGCACCCAACCCGCCCATGTCCTCTTCCCAACCCTCCATGTCCTATCCGCACCCGATCCGCGTGTGTCTTCATCCTTAGGTCATCGGCAACTTCGCCAACGCGGGCGAGCTCCATCAAACCGCAGTGTGGGACCGCTGCTTCCCGGGCACCTTCTCGCGCCTCGCGACAGTGCGCGCCCCCGCGGTGCGGCGCGCGCTCTGCATGGTGCTGTTCACGTGCTGCCGCGCCGTGCCCAAGCACGTCGACGGGCTGGGCGGGTCCATGGACGGCGTTGCGCTGCTCGCGGGCGCGCTCAGGGCTCAGGGGGAGGCGCTCGTTGCTCGCGTGGAGGGGCGGGACGGCGGCAGCGGCGGGGATGTTTTCTCAGGTATGCGTTGTCCTTTGCTGTTGACCATTTCTCCCGTCCTTCTCCGCACGGCTCTTTAGACTGACCAACAGCCCCCTCCCTCCCCCTTTCCCGCCCTCCCCCTTTCCCGCCCCTCGTTTCCTTGTTTTCCTGTTGCGTCCAAACCCTTGCTTCTGCTTGCCCCTGTTCCTCTGCACTCTCATCTTGTCACGCTCTGTGTTCGTACTGACCCAGCGCCCGTTTTCTGTACTCATAACCTCACTTCTCCTTACTGTCTTCTCGTCCGTGCCCCTGCTCACCCCTCCCGCCCTACTTCCTCAGCTCTCTCGGACGTTACCTCCAACGGGATGGACGAGTGGCTGGGTCTGCTGGTGGAGCGGCTCTGCCTGCGCGCGCGCTACTTCGAGCCAGTCTTCAAGAACCTCCCCAACTTCTCGCCGCGTCCTGCCCTCGGGCAGGTCCGAGGCCTTTTCTGCCCGGAACAAGCCGCCCTGCTGTGGGTCCTATGGGGCGCTCTTCACGCCACTGCGAAAGCACGGGGGATCCCAGGAATTGACCGTCCTTCTGCTTCTAACGAGGATGATGGAAACTCCAAGGGCGATGAGACATCAAGTGATGAGACGTCAAAGAAGGCTGCAGCACCTGGGTCGAGGTGGCAGGTGCATGGGCTGCCCGACATTGGACCGGGCACTCTCAAGTTCCTTCTCACGGCATGCAGAAACGCAGCGGCGGGTCTGGGCAAGGCACGGGAGGAGGCAGGTAGCAAGGGGCTCTCCTCCTCGTCCTCGTCCTCCTCCACCTCCTTCACGTGTCTGCAGCTGGTGCTCTGCTTCTCCCTCCGCTGCCTCCGCGTTCTCGCTGCCCAAGAGCCCTCCTCCACCTCCCATCCTGTTCCAGCTTCTCCGGACACTTCATCCACAGTAGCCTCAGACGCCACTCGTGCAGACACCTCAGCAGCAGCAGGAGCAGGTCAAGCTGCAGACTCGAAATCAACGGCCGAGGATGCTTTTGTTGCGATCGGAGGGTCCGAAATCATCCCGCTGCTGCTGGATCTCCTCCAGGGTCTGAGTGTGAGTCTACCTGGAGGTTCAAGCGGGCAGGGGAAGGAGGAAGCATATCCAGGATATCGATCTGATTTGGTGTCGGTGCTTGCGAACTCGTGTCACCGCCGGCCCGTGTATCAAGATGCTGTTAGAATGTATAAATGTACAGGGGGGGTAACAGATGGGGATGTATCTGGTCTTGTGCTGGTTCTGCGACAGATACTGGCAGAGTCTGGTGGTGGGGGAAGTGGAGGTACTAAGGAATGGGTGGGGTATGCAATGAGGTGTCTGGTGGAAGGGAATGAGAGCAACAGGAGGGAGCTTGCAGCAGCAGTGCAATCAGGGGCGGTGTCTACAGAGATGTTGGAAGCGGCTGGTGTGAAGTGTTAGTCTTGGATGTTACCTGTCAATTCTAATTAACCACGATAATCTGTATCTATCAGTCAATCATTTCCCATTTTGATCATAGCAGAAAATATGCTCCCTCCTGGAAAACTAGGAGTGGAAAACCTTCTAGCTTGCAAATTACCAGGAATGATGTAATAAATAATTGACCGTTCTATAGGGGGTATTTTCAGACATCTAGTCTGTGCGAATCGCATCCTGCAGTTACCAATTCAGCTCAGCAGCAGCATGTCAGTGGACCATTCCATAGTCGCCCCACTCCCCTCCGCTAGTCAGTCAACTAGATAATAGGACAGGTATCTATCGGCTTGAACGTCTCTCCTTCCCGTCCGTCACAATCACCTCCGTCCTCTCCCAGTGGGACTTGGGAGCCTCTCGCCTGCCTCTTGCCTGCCTCTCGCCTCTCACAATGCCGTACGTTCCTCCTCATCGCCGAGCCAGCGCAAACAGTTCCGCAGCCGAACCTGCTGCTCCGTCCGCATCAGCACCAAACCTAGCTTATCGGACGTCGGGACTAGGTTCGGATAATAGGTTCGGGGGAAGAGGCCGAGGAAGAGGTGGCTCCTATCCGGCAGGAGGCCGAGCCAATGAACCCGCGATAGAGAAAATCTCGATAAAGTGCTCTCCTGATTCTGTTCGGTGCTCCCTAGTTGACGATTTCGCGGAGCGAGAAACATCTATATCGGGAAGCCCTTGTAGTGGCAACTGTGCCTGTAACGGGGGCCGAGCTCGCTGTAACCGGATGGTGCTCCGATTTCGCCAATTTCACGATAGTTCCCAACGGCGGCACTGGGATCAGAATCTCGCTACACTAGCAAAGGTTCCGGAAACCGAGCTTGACAATATCGAATCAGCTGCAGGATACGTATCAAGCCCCACCTCCAATCCATCCCCTGATTCGTCATCTAATACCCCCGCCTCCGCAACCTCACCTCTCTCCACCGCTCCGTCAACCTCCTTATCCGACGCCCTCATAAGCCTTCTAGCTAGGGCACTGGAAGCCGCTCACCGGGACATTCAACTCGCCTCAGATCTCAGGGAGTCGCAAGTGGAGTCAGAGCTTGGGAGGAGAAGGTCGAGGGTGGTGGAGCGGTGCAAACTAATGGTGAAGCTGGGGAAGCTGCTGCTGGCGCCGCCTTGGGCTAAGGGGTTCTCAGCACCCGTGTAAGTGGTCCCTCTCGGTAATGATTATGATCAAGGGTAGATGCAGGACTTGAGAGTGGTGCAGCGGTGCAAGCTGGCTCCGCCCTGGCCTTGAGGGTCCTCAGCGCCCGTGTGAGTGACGCTGTTGTGGGAATTCTTGGTGTAAGAATTGCCTTCCCTCTTGACCTTTGATTCATGTTAGTCTTTCTCTCAGGACCCTTGATTCACGTTTTCTTCATTCTTTGTTTTCCGTGTTTTTCCTTTCCTGGAGTCCCCTCCTCCATTACCCACCATCCCCTCCTCCAACCCCCTCTTCCCCCCACCCCACTCCCCCCCACACCGCCCATCCTTCCCTCCCATTAGCTCCCTCCCGAGCCTCCCGCCCTTCACAGCGGGCGCGTTTGAGTCTCTTCCGCTAATCCTCTCCTTCCCTCCCCCCATCCCATTCCCCATGCTCCTCTCCCCTCCCATCAGCTCCCTCCCCGGTCTCCCTCCCTTCACAGCGGGCGCGTTTGAATCGCACATCAACATGCAGGGTCGCCGCCTGCCCATGCGCCTCTTCCGCTCATACGACACGGGCCTGCCAGAGACAATGTTCGCCGCACTGGAAGGGATGATTGCCCAGGGAGGCATGGAGACCGTTCGATACAAGACGCGCTCGACCTATAGCATCTGGGTACTTACTGGTTATTTGAGAATTTCTCAAAAAACGGATCGTCATTCGTCTACTCCTGCACTCCTTCCCCTTCCCATTTCCTCCCTTTCCCCTTTCTTTCCCTCCTTACCACCTCACATTGTTCTCTTTGCGACCTCACCTATTTCCCATGCGAACCTCGCATCTGTTCCGTGTTGCTCATGCGAGGTCCCATATGCGCATTCTTCTCGTTTCGCGTCATGGAAAGCTGATTGTTGCTAATTCTCTTTTGACTTACCGCTTCTTGAGGCGCCATGGAAATGTTGGTGAACGCTCGGTACAAGGCGCTTTCCATCAAGTGTAGCTTCTTGTTGCAAAGCGTTTCCATGTCTGGCTAATGGCACTTTGTCCAGCACTCCCCGGTGCAAGTCCTTTGCATACCAGGTAACTGACAAATGCACCACTCGAGATGTGCTTTGATGGTGCACAAAAACTCATGCTCCTTATGATTGCAATCTCCTTTCCCTGTATTCCACCTTTTTGTAACAGGTAACAGACACGGATACAGAAATCGAGTATAAGTTAATCTGCGTGCCAAATCCCGACAACTCAGGAATTATCCTCACTAAGGTGCGTTTCCACAATGTCCATACCACTGTGCTCTCTCCTTCAATCAGACCAGCCTAAAACAGCTGTTTCAGATTCTCTTCAGGCATCTTTTGAGTGGACTTTAAGTCGACTCAAAAGTCACCACATCACTAACCTTCAGCCTTACCTCCCCTGACGGCATCCTCGTACCTCGCCAGGCGAATGCTTCTTATGATTTCCCCACGGTTCCCCTTATGAGCCCCCATTGTTAAGCCTTAGTCAGTATGGCCAACACGTTCCCTCCTTTCAACCGAGTCTCCTTCCCTTTCTCGCATGGGCAGGCACTGTCTTACCACAGGTTCAGCGCCAGCCTTTGTGCTATGCAGGTGGATTTTGAATTTACTTGAAAATACGTCTACTGCACCCCCTTGCACCGCACTCGACCCTTCTTCCTTCCGTGCTGTCCCACACCGTGCCTTGCACCTTCCTTCCAGGTGAAGCACAACTCGGTGCGCTATGCAGTCATCGACGTCGCTCGACCCATTAAAGCCATTGTCTTTCGCCTCATGCTGTTTAGAGAGTCCAGGCTCTGTTCCCTCGATGTGCGTGTGAGACCCATTGACAGTGCATGTGCAGTGCTTGTATCGCATGTGCTTTTGCCACATGTCCATGTGCCACATTTGTGTGCGTGTATCACTTCCGCTCATGCCGGTGAAGGAATGGGGCCTTTGCTCCCTCGATGTGCGTGGTGATTGACAGTGAGTGTGGTGACTCACAGTGAGTGTGGTGACTCACAGTGAGTGTGGTGACTCACAGTGAGTGTGGTGACTCACAGTGAGTGTGGTGACTGCCCGTGCGTGTCTGTGAGTTGTGCATGTAATATGTATGTGAGAACGCATTGTTTTAGTTGACTCAGAATCTATGTTATGCCATGCATGTCCATCGGTGGTGCATATGACATGTAGCATCACTGTTGCATCCCGTCTCCTCACACCCGTCTTCCTCCTCACATCACTTCCCCCCCTGTGAGTGCATAGCATCAACAGTAGTCGATCAACCCCCCTCACCCCTTCTTCCTTCAATCCCACCTTCTTTGTCCCACTGCTCCCCTGCCCCCTTCCCTCCTTCCTCAGGATGCCACTCGGTCTGCGTGTGAGCTCATAGCATCGACAGCAATCATCGACACGGCGTCGAGGGGGGGCTTGCGCTGGCCACACACCCCCACTGCCTTCGATCTCACCCACCTCTTCTCCTCTCCCCCATCCTCCTCCTCCTCCTCCTCCTCCTCCTCCTCCTCCTCCTCCTCCTCCTCCTCCTCCTCCTCCTCCTCCTCCACAATACCAGCAGCAGCAGCAGCAGCAGCCCCCACTCCGCCACCTGTTCCTCCCTTCTCCACTTCGCAATCGCCCTCATCGTCGTCACCATCGCCACCCGGTTCAAATTCTGAAGCGCCTCAACACTCTCACTCACCCTCGTTGGCATCATCAGCGGCGCCATCCACTCGCTTCAGAGTGATGGGCGTGAGCCGTCTCGACAAGACCCGGGCGGAGTCGGGCGGACGTTTGTGGAAGCTGGCGTGGATTAATGGGCTGGTGCCGGGGCAGGTTGGGAGCAGCCTCAAGCACCAGATTGACCTGTGCCCCTTAGCTTGGCGGGAAACAACCAAGGTGGGATGTGGGGGAGAGAGTTAGGATGCGAGTATACGGCACATTTCTATCCTCTCGCGATGGTTGAGTGGTTCTGCGTGGTGCACGCGTCTGGTCTTGAGGTTGGGAGCAGCCTGAAGCACCAGATTGATCTTTGCCCCTTGGCATGGCGGGAAACAACCAAGGTGAGATGGTGGGAGTAAATGGTACACTCCTCTCTAGTACATGGCGTCTCAAAAAAGGCTAGCAGCCTGAAGCACCAGATTGATCTGTGCCCTTTGGCATGGCGGGAAACAACCAAGGTGGAATGTTGTGGGGAGTGTAAACAGTACAGTCCTATCATCGTGTCCTGGCTGAGCGGTTCTGTGTGGTGCACATGTCTGGTGTCGAGGTTTAATGCAGTGCAGCGTGGTGGAAGCTGGTTCGGATCAACGGGTAGGTTGGGAGCAGCCTGAAGCACAAGATTGACCTGTGCCCCGTGGCATGGCGGGAAACAACCAAGGTGGGGTGATTGAACGGTCATTCATGGTGCACGTGTCTGGTTTTGAAGTGTAAAGCGGTGCAGCGTGGTGGAAGCTGGCTTGCATCATCAGATTGACCTTTGCCCCGTGGCATGGCGAGAAACAACCAAGGTGGAATGGCTGATTTAAACTCTTAGCTGCAAGACCCTTCCTACTCTTGAGCTGGTACCTGCTAGACGTTTTTTGCTGCAAATGAGTTTCCTGATTCTTTTCCCCCCCTCTTGTCGCTGGCTTGTGTTGTTTGAATGCAGGGTCATGAAGGCCCAAGCAACAGCACGAACACTTTACGCGTAGCCTACTCCGCTGCGTCTTGCTTTGACTCTAGCTTGCAGCAGGCAGCCCCACAGTGGACTCCAAACAGCATTCTTGCTGATTGCCCCGCCATCATTAACTGGCTGCAGCAACACCTGCCTTAACAGTTGGTGGATGTGAGTCTATGGTAGTGTGCTGATGTGAGTCTATGGTAGTGTGCTGATGTGAGTCTATGGTAGTGTGCTGATGTGAGTCTATGGTAGTGTGCTGATGTGAGTCTATGGTAGTGTGCTGATGTGCTAGTGCAGACTGCAAACAGCATCCTTGCTGATTGCCCCGCATTCATGCACTGGCTACAGGAGCACTTGCCATAGGGAAGAATGGTGGCTGCATCAATATTTGCCTTGATATTTGGTGGATGCGAGTTTTGCCTCATTCTGGCATTCCCGCATTCCCTTATTCAGGCATCACCTCATTCCATCATTCAGGCATTCCCTCATTCAGGAATTCCCTCATTCAGGAATTTCCTCATTCAGGCATTACCGTGCTCCCTTTTCAGTCGTCACTGCATTCCCTCAGTCATCAGACATCCTGCAATCCCTTGTTCAGGCATATCCATCATGCAATCCCTTGTTCAGGCATATCCATCATGCAATCCCATTGTTCAGGCATATCCTCATGCAATCCCATTGTTCAGGGGCATATCCATCATGCAATCTCTTTGTTCAGGCATATCCATCATGGAATCCCATTGTTCAGGCATATCCATCATGCAATCCCATTATTCAGTACATGTTGGCATCAGCATCAGCATCAGCATCAGCATCAGCATCAGCATCAGCAGCATCAGCATCAGTATCAGCATCAGCATCAGCATCAGCATCAGCATCAGCATCAGCGTATCAGCATCAGCATATCAGCATCAGCATATCAGCATCAGCATCAGCATCAGCATCAGCATATCAGCATCAGCATATCAGCATCAGCATATCAGCATCAGCATATCAGCATCAGCATCAGCATCAGCATATCAGCATCAGCATCAGCATCAGCATATCAGCATATCAGCATCAGCATCAGCATATCAGCATCAGCATATCAGCATATCAGCATCAACATCCACATCAGCGTATCAGCACTAGCATATCAGCATCAGCATATCAGCATCAGCATATCAGCATCAGCATATCAGCATCAGCATCAGCATATCAGCATCAGCATCAGCATATCAGCATCAGCATCAGCATATCAGCATCAGCATCAGCATCAGCATCAGCATCAGCATCAGCATATCAGCATCAGCATCAGCATCAGCATCAGCATATCAGCATCAGCATCAGCATCAGCAGCATCAGCATCAGCATCAGCATTAGCATCAGCATCAGCATCAGCATCAGCATCAGCATCAGCATTAGCATCAGCATCAGCATCAGCATCAGCATATCAGCATCAGCATATCAGCATCAGCATCAGCATATCAGCATCAGCATCAGCATCAGCATCAGCTTCAGCATCAGCATCAGCATCAGCATATCAGCATCAGCATCAGCATATCAGCATCAGCATCAGCATCAGCATTAGCATCAGCATCAGCATCAGCATCAGTATCAGCATCAGCATCAGCATCAGCATCAGCATCAGCATCAGCATATCAGCATCAGCATCAGCATCAGCATCAGCATCAGCGTATCAGCATCAGCATATCAGCATCAGCATATCAGCATCAGCATCAGCATATCAGCATCAGCATCAGCATCAGCATCAGCATCAGCACATCAGCATCATCAGCATCAGCATCAGCATCAGCAGCAGCATCTCAGCATATCAGCATATCAGCGTATCAGCATATCAACATATCAGCATATCAGCATCAGCATCAGCATCAGCATATCAGCATCAGCATCAGCATCAGCGTATCAGCACTAGCATATCACATCAGCATATCAGCATCAGTCTCAGCATCAGCACATCAGCACCAGCATCAGCATCAGCATCAGCATATCAGCATCAGCATCAGCATCAGCATCAGCATATCAGCATCAGCATCAGCATCAGCATCAGCATCAGCATCAGCATATCAGCATCAGCATCAGCATATCAGCATCAGCATCAGCATCAGCATCAGCATCAGCACATCAGCATCATCAGCATCAGCATCAGCATCAGCATCAGCAGCATCTCAGCATCAGCATCAGCAGAAGCATCTCAGCATATCAGCATATTAGCGTATCAGCATATCAACATATCAGCATATCAGCATCAGCATATCAGCATCAGCATCAGCATCAGCATGTGCATCAGCATCAGCATCAGCGTATCAGCACTAGCATATCATCATCAGCATATCAGCATCAGTCTCAGCATCAGCACATCAGCACCAGCATCAGCATCAGCATCAGCATATCAGCATCAGCATCAGCATCAGAGCATCAGCATCAGCATCAGCATCAGCATCAGCATCAGCATATCAGCATCAGCATATCAGCATCAGCATCAGCATCAGCATCAGCATATCAGCATCAGCATCAGCATCAGCATCAGCATATCAGCATCAGCATATCAGCATCAGCATCAGCATATCAGCATCAGCATCAGCATCAGCAGCATCAGCATTAGCATCAGCATCAGCATCAGCATCAGCATCAGTATCAGCATCAGCATCAGCATTGGCATATCAGCATCAGCATCAGCATCAGCATCAGCATCAGCGTATCAGCATCAGCATATCAGCATCAGCATATCAGCATCAGCATCAGCATCAGCATCAGCATCAGCATCAGCATATCAGCATCAGCATCAGCATATCAGCATCAGCATCAGCATTAGCATCAGCATCAGCATCAGCATCAGCATATCAGCATCAGCATCAGCATATCAGCATCAGCATATCAGCATCAGCATCAGCATATCAGCATCAGCATATCAGCATCAGCATCAGCATCAGCGTATCAGCACTAGCATACCAGCATCAGCATATCAGCATCAGCATCAGCATCAGCATATCAGCATCAGCATATCAGCATCAGCATCAGCATATCAGCATCAGCATCAGCATCAGCATCAGCATTAGCATCAGCATATCAGCATCAGCATCAGCATATCAGCATCAGCATCAGCATCAGCATTAGCATCAGCATCAGCATCAGCATCAGTATCAGCATCAGCATCAGCATCAGCATCAGCATCAGCATATCAGCATCAGCATCAGCATCAGCATCAGCATCAGCGTATCAGCATCAGCATATCAGCATCAGCATATCAGCATCAGCATCAGCATCAGCATATCAGCATCAGCATCAGCATCAGCACATCAGCATCATCAGCATCAGCATCAGCATCAGCACATCAGCATCATCAGCATCAGCATCAGCATCAGCAGCAGCATCTCAGCATATCAGCATATCAGCGTATCAGCATATCAACATATCAGCATATCAGCATCAGCATATCAGCATCAGCATCAGCATCAGCGTATCAGCACTAGCATATCACATCAGCATATCAGCATCAGTCTCAGCATCAGCACATCAGCACCAGCATCAGCATCAGCATCAGCATATCAGCATCAGCATCAGCATCAGCATATCAGCATCAGCATCAGCATCAGCATCAGCATCAGCATATCAGCATCAGCATCAGCATATCAGCATCAGCATCAGCATCAGCATCATCAGCATCAGCATCAGCATCAGCAGCAGCATCTCAGCATATCAGCATTTTAGCGGAACAGCATATCAACATATCAGCATATCAGCATCAGCATATCAGCATCAGCATCAGCATCAGCATGTGCATCAGCATCAGCATCAGCGTATCAGCACTAGCATATCATCATCAGCATATCAGCATCAGTCTCAGCATCAGCACATCAGCATCAGCATCAGCATCAGCATATCAGCATCAGCATCAGCATCAGCATCAGCATCAGCATCAGCATATCAGCATCAGCATCAGCATATCAGCATCAGCATCAGCATCAGCATCAGCATCAGCATTAGCATCAGCATATCAGCATCAGCATCAGCATCAGCATCAGCATATCAGCATCAGCATATCAGCATCAGCATCAGCATATCAGCATCAGCATCAGCATCAGCATCAGCAGCATCAGCATTAGCATCAGCATCAGCATCAGCATCAGCATCAGTATCAGCATCAGCATCAGCATTGGCATATCAGCATCAGCATCAGCATCAGCATCAGCATCAGCGTATCAGCATCAGCATATCAGCATCAGCATATCAGCATCAGCATCAGCATCAGCATCAGCATATCAGCATCAGCATCAGCATCAGCATATCAGCATCAGCATCAGCATTAGCATCAGCATCAGCATCAGCATCAGCATCAGCATATCAGCATCAGCATCAGCATATCAGCATCAGCATATCAGCATCAGCATCAGCATATCAGCATCAGCATATCAGCATCAGCATCAGCATCAGCGTATCAGCACTAGCATACCAGCATCAGCATATCAGCATCAGCATCAGCATCAGCATATCAGCATCA